GCTAAGAGACATTTGACAGTTTCCTTGGGTTTCCACATTTTCTTAGCATGATTTTTCTTCCCTTTCTTTCCTTTAGGCTTTAGATGATTATAATATTGAGGATATACAAAGAGTTTATAACAAAAGTGTCTTATATGACCACATCTACCACAATGGTGACATCTCTTTGTAGAGTTCTTGTAACCACTGTGTTGAGGGTACACATGTCGAGCACTATGCTGATACATGTGGTCCGCCATCTGAAACTCAGTCTTCTTCTTAGGTGGGAATTTGATATTTTTGTTCATGGAACTGTAGTCAAACCTTACAACCTCCATATTCCCTTCCAAGAAATCATTTAACATATATGAACTGTTGTTTTTCATATGTACATATTCTGACATATTTTCAAGTTTGAACGTTAACAATGTGACTTTTTCTTCCAGACCTGTAATGGTTGGGCCAATCTTCCCTTTTCAAGAAGTAGAGCATTTATGGTCTTATTTTGTTTCTCTTCTATCATGCAAGATTCCTTCCATTTTGTGAGTAGCTCTCTATTAATTTCAGGAAGTTCTTCTACTGACATTTCTTCATGAGTAGCCTCGCTGCAAGATTCATGTTTCCTAGTAAAAGCTATCACTTTATCAACTATTTCTCCTTCACTTTCATCATCATATTTAGACCAAGTGATAGATAATCCTTTTTTCTTTTTCTTTAGAAAAGTAAGGCATTCGGTTTTAATTTGATCAAACCCTTCACATTCTAAACATTAAGCTCATTTGCATTTATTATCTTCGAAATCATCTTTGCTCTTATTTAGGGGACTGATATCTGACCTATTTTTTCAAATCACTATTAAACTTTCTCCCAACAAGGGCTATAGCCTCTGAAAAACTTTCTCCAATACTGTTACCAACTTGGTCTTCCTAAACTTGAGTATTGCATACAAAAGCTAAATCTTTGCTCTTCTTTTCTGATCTTCCATTTATAGAAACTTTAAAGGTTGGAAGGGAATTAATGAGTTCATTAACCTTCAAGGTGCTTAAGTCTTGGACTTCTTCAATAGATGTTACCTTCATGTCAAACTTCTGCGGTAAAGACCAAAGAATATTTCTAACCATCTTTTCGTCTGACATCTTTTCTCCCAAAGCAAAAGAATTGTTGGTTATGTCACACAAATGAATGTTAAAATCATATATTAATTAATCTTACATCATTCTCATATTTTCAAACTTGGTTGTGAGAAGCTACAACTTTGACATCCTAACCTTGGATGTGCCTTTATGAGCAGTTTTGAGAATCTCCCAAGTTTCTTTTTCTTTAGTACAAATATTAATTAGTTTGAACATTGTCAACACCATTGAATATAACATTCGAGGTTTTATCATTACAAATAGCTTCATCATCTTCAGTTTTAGACCAATCAGATTCAGGTTTCAAGTTTGGTTAACCATCTTAAGAAGTTATCACAAGATGTTTCCAACCTTTAATCACAACTTTTCAAGTTTTGCTGTCAATGGATTTAAGAAAAATAACTATTTTGGCTTTCCAATAGTCATAATTTGTGCCATCTAAAAGAGGTGGTCTATTGACTGACCCTCCATCTTTTGTGTTGTCCATCTGAATAGAAAATATCCTCCCTGAAGTTCACCCAAATAGAACAGGGTGCTTGCTATGATGCCAATTAAAATTTGTTCCTTAGGGGACAGATGTTGGACACGGTGCTGGAACAACTAGTCCAACAAGTTAAACCAGAATAACATAAATATAACACAATAAGGAAAGTAATAAAAACACAAGAGATTGGTAATTCAGTTCAATGCAAACAACACCTGCGTCTGGAGGGCACTTTACCCAAGAAACGGAATCCACTACTTTAAATTAGTACATTTAGTCTTACAAGAACCAACAACCCCTATGTTGTTCAATACCTCTTCCTAATCCTAGTGACTTTCAATTTAAGGATTCCCCATAAATATGAGAACCTTTTCATTTTCTTCTCGATCACACAACCCGTGATTGGTGTTTAGAACTCAATGAATAATGTTGAATATTACAACTTAACTAAGACAAACCTTCTATGCCAAGTTATTAAAACATAGAGTTGTACACAAATATTTAACATTAACCCTATTAGGGCATTAACATAGAATGCAAGACTCACAAAACCTAGACACATAGAATTTAATATATCATACAAAACCCTCAACAAACTATGAGAATTGAGTTTTCTTATATAGAAATGTCTGGTGAGATTTTTCTCCTTATGGATTTGCATTTAATTCGTCCAGAATATTAGAGATTTTGTTGGATATAATCTTCTCCATAAATCTCTCCAAAAGATATGATTTGTTACTTTCAAATTCATATTTAAATATCCATTTAAATTTGATTTGATCTTCCACGATTTTTGAACAAATCAACCATGTATTGCTCAACAAAATACAACAAATCTAACTAAACATAATCAAAATTTGTGCATAAAAAACATCCATATGGACTGCCGTCAAGGCCCGATGTTGAACAACACAGGTGTTAGAACATCATGTTCCACATGTTGCACGAGAACAGCCAAATCAATCCTTCTTCATTACTTGCAAATCTTCTATTGAAGAGTGAGTCTTAGATAGAACATAAGCCTTAGCCAAACTGCAATAACATATGTCTCTTGTAAGAGACCAGATGTTGCAGCACACATGTTGGAACATCATATTCCACATGTATTACACATGTTGGAACTTCCATATTATTTTGTATAATGCAGTCAATCCAAAGGAACAACACGAAAGCTTCTTACTTGATACGAACTGGCTAGAAGAGGTATTATTTTTGGATTGCATAATCTAGTTTGTTTGCTTTGTCTTGGCACTCCGGGAGATCTCGATCACCTCTTTCTGTTCTTCCTGATTGTTTCTCGCGTTTGGGATATCATGCTATGTTAGACATGTATTTCTTCTATGCCTTTTCAACTTAATTCTTTGGCTCACATGTTGGAATTCTATAAGAGTTTGGTTGACTCTTTAAAAAATAAATTTCATCTTCTGTTTGGTTGTCGGTAGTTTGGTCTTTATGATTGACGAAAAATGATGTTCTCTTTAATGGGTAAGGATGTATCTGATATTGTTTCTTTAGCTAAGAATCTTGCTTGGAATTGAATAGGAGTCAAAATTTCTAGACTTTTAGATTTTGATCTGGAGGAATGGGATAGAAATTCCACTCTTTATTTTCCTTAATCCTTCTTGTGTATTGTGATCCTCTTTTTCTCTCTTTATATAAGGGTTGAATATCCTATTACTCAATAATTCAATACAATTTTAGTTATAAAAAAATAGTTTTGAAGTTTTTCTCAATAAATTATTAGGATCCTCTTAAGTTTACACATTTATTATGTATTTTTTACTTGATATTTATTCTTTATAGTTGACGTCTTCATTGCATTATCATTTTTCAAAAATTCAATTTTAATCTACTTTTGATTGCAAAGATTCTTTTTATGACCATCAAATCATTTTTAGAATATGCATCATTAATAGTCCCGTTTGCATATAAAAAAAACACATTTTATTTTGTGTTAAATGTATATCAAGCTTCTTTTTTCAATAATCATTTATTTATAAATAATTTAAAGTAAAAATACAATAGTTATAATTTTATTAACTACTCGCGCTCAGATGGGTCCGCTTTTTAATAGACACGTAAAAATATAAATGATATATTTTTATTTAATATAATTTTAGATGAAAATTATGTAAAAAGTTAATAGTAAGAAGTTAAATAAGAGAAAGTTATATGAAAAATGATAGCAATGAAAATTATTGTGTAAATTATACATCAAAATAAGAGTAATTATAGGTATACCATTTCTAATGAAAAGAGTCAAATATATAATTTATAATATTTTATGTTTTTCTTGACACAATGTTATTTTATGTTTTTATAAGTGAGTGTGTTATAATTTATGATTTTTTTTAACACAATGATATTTTATGTTTTTATAAGTGAGTGTGTCATAGCATTACCCCCATATTTATTATAACTTTTTAAACATTATTAACGAAAGGAGTCCAAATAATAATCTTAATACACATCAAAAAATAATATGTACAAAATACTATAATTTGATGATAATGAAAAGCTATATGATCAACTGGACTGTGAGTTGCGTGACTAGTTTTGCAACTCAAAAAGAATAAGTTTGTATCTCTACCCGAGAATATATAATCTAGTATATAATAATAATATCCCCTAGATTCTATTTAAAAAAAAAAAATCAAAAGTTTATCAGCAGTTTGATTTTTAAGTGATGCGTATATCATTTGATGATCTTTATTTTTATTTGTTTATTAACTTTTTCAATAATTGACCATTGACTCGTCAGTAATTGGATTTAATTTCTTTAAAATAAAAATTCTTTCAAATTTTTTTTTCCATAAAACCAATCATATTGGTAGGTCCCTAGAAAAAACACCATGAGAAAGATACTCTTTGCATAACAACCACCACATGGAGAGTCCGACCCCATGTTCTTGTTGTCCTATTATTTTATTTATTTACAAGAGTTTAGTGTCCATTTAAATATGACAACTCCAAAGGTTCTTTCTCGTATATATCTTGTAACATCACCATATTTATATACTCCTACAAAGTACTACTAATTACATCTCATAAACAGAATAATTTTAAATAAAAAAGTACAACCAGAGTTTTCCAGGTACTTTCACTTATAATCTAATATGCATGTTAACATATTTCAGACTCCATAATCATTGTATGAATCATATCACCCAATCTAACTAGCATAATCTAAATCTATTGTACTTTAGATTTCTAATGATAAAATAAAATAAACAAGTGTTTCCCAGGGTATGCCCTAGATCATAAGACTATACTGGCCACAGCAAACTCTCTCATATGTATTGTTCTACTAGTAAAAATCTAGAGAGAAACTATATGTGTATCTTTTTCATAAAATTTTATGTGTCTTTATTTATTTTCTTTTGCATTGTCCCAAGAAATTAAGTTCAGAATTCAAGGTGATTAAATTGGTCAAAGGCAGCTTTTGAACCCTTAGAAACGATGAGTTCGGAAAAGGCCCATAACCTTGAAGCTTCAATTGAGTTGGATCCCAATTTGGAACTGGAGACTTCGTTGCAGTCCATAAAGTACTTGCCTGACACATTGAAGAGCCTTGGATGGGTTGCCACATAACATGTTGTTGCAGCTGCCTACAGTGTTTATTTGCAGCGGGTAAATTAGAGCACAACATAAAAGACCCAACAACACTGAAAGTTATAATGTAGTATACAAAAAGAATAGTAGTACTACATAGGACATGCAGAATAAAGAACATTGAACTTAAAATTACTACTAGTAGTATTACTAGTATTTAGTTACCTGGGGAAGGGTCTTTAATAACTTGGAAGCCAAAAAGAAAACTAAATCTGCAATTTGATTTTAAAACAGAAAAGAAAAAAAAAATCTAAATCAATTAATTGCTGACTTAAAAAAGAAACCAAAACTATAAGAAAAAATTGTTATTGTTCCAACAAACCTGTAAGGAAACCATCACGTTCTCTGGTGAGTCTGGTTCTCACAACTCCCGGATGAAGGCAGTTCACAGTCACGTTGGCATCCATTTGCTGCACAAGTTTAATACCCCAAATTATTTATTCATATGAGTTCATCATATAATAAAACAAATTTCACTTTTGAATATGGATAAATCGATGTAGATCATAGATCAAAGATGGATACTGCATGTTAGTGAGCAGTAGATAAAATAATTAAAAAAAATGAATATACACAGTGAAGGACTGAGTATTTTTTTTTCATGTTTACCTTGAGTCTGGTAGCAAGCTCTGTAGTGTGTAAAACGTTGGCGAGTTTTGAAAGAGTATAAGCACGTGTAGCATCGAAATGGCTGGGGAACATCACACAACACAAACATATCTCAGTCAAACCAATTAAACTACAATATCCAAACTACAATATATTTTACTGTTATTTTAATCTTCAAAGTTTCCAAGAGAAGTGCATGATAGTAATAAACAAAAATTTTAAATAACTATCTGAGTTCGCATAAAGATTTTCACAATTTTAGTCGGTACAGATGTTATAATACTAATCATGATAGTGATAAAAACATTGAATAGCAGTATTGCATTATCCCATCATTTTGTTATTCTTTTCGTTGATATGAAAAATAATGAAATATATCATTAACTTAATAAAATGAAAGAAAAATATGTGCAATATAATTTCGTCACCTTTTGTTGTGGCTTATAAGAGCCAAATAAGAGATGACGTCATCAGTAAACCATTTGTGTATGGCGGAAGTTACGTTCACTATCCTCCCTTGAATCCCCGTCGTCTCTGCTGTTTCAACCATCGTCTTCATCAACAACTTCGTTAATAGAAAATGACCTAATTTCACAGAATTAAATAATTAAAACAAAAACAAAATCAATCATCATATGTATAAATATAATTATACAATTTGATGTGATCTTATCTTATTTACCTAAATAATTAGTGGCGAAGGTCATTTCAATTCCATCTTCTGAGATCGCGTGCTTTTCTGCAAACTTCCCAGCATTGTTTCTAAAGAATAATCAACAATCAACCATGCAAATTCAAATTCAGATTCAAATTCAAATTCAAAGGAATATGCATGTATGGAATGTGAGTGTATATACATACATGAGGAGATGGAGAGGGAAACCGAGAGAGTGAAAGCGAGTAACAAAATTCGTAACGGAATTGAGAGAACTAAGATCGAGTTTCATAACGATAATCTCCGCTTCAGGACATTCCGTTACGATTCTATCTCTCGTTTCCTCCGCGTTTTTTATGCTCCGTGCCGGAAGAATCACTCTCGCGCCACGCGAAGCCAACACGCGCGCTGTTTCCGCTCCGATTCCAGAAGTACCACCGGTGATGATGGCGGTTATGGAACGAAGTTCGCCGCGGGGTTCGGTGACTTGTTCGGCGGTGGATTTGGATCCGAATCCGCTTGGACCGGGCCAACCGATAAGGTATTTAATCGTTTCGAGCATTTTGTGAAATCCGAAGCAAGAGTGATATTGATTGAATAAATAATTAATATTGTGAATTGGATCGTTCTATTCGTTGTGAGAAAAGGTGGTTATCTTTTAGAGTCTGTCAGGATTCTGAGATGCTGCGCAATTCGGCTCTGCGTGCATTAATCAATCTCAAAGTACAGTGCATGCAAGAAAGAAGAAGAAGAATGAGAGAGAAAGAAAAGAAAAAGGGAAAGTAATGGAGAGAGAGAGGATCTTCCGTCTTCAGCGTGCGTGATAACAAAACTGCCGCATAACAGATTGTTTAAAGGCTATACGAATCAGAATAAAAGTGTTATACCGAAATTCCTTATTTATTTATTTATTTATTTTTATACAAAATTCTTATATGTATAACAATAACAATGAATACAAAATTCTATTGTAATGAATACTATTTGATAATTTAGGTTATTATTTAAATAATATTATACAAACAATTGAATTATAAATATATAGATTTATTCCTATACATTCTTAATCAATGTAAATTAAAAAGAGCAAATATTTTACCTTAAATTTATTTATTTTAAATTGTAAATAATTTGAAGTGAAATTATATTATTGATTTTTTTCTATTTAAATCATTTATGTTATTTTAAGCTCAAACTTTTCTCATTTATCAATCAAATTCAACCACTTAATTGGTATATTTTGATTGATATAGTTTAATGTAGTGAGATTACTATATATTTTAATTGATAAATTAGTTAATTATTTAAATAAAATTATAAAAATAATTGATTTATAAAACATAAATTTTATTCCTATATATTCTTATTCAATGTAGATTTTTTTTAATATCAATAAATTGTTTTATGTCATAGAAAATGGATAAAATTTTACATTGCTTGTAAATTACCTAACACAATTATCTTCTTTTATCTAATTTTATAATCGATTATATATATATATATATATATATATATATATATATATATATATATATATATATATATAAAAGTATAGAATCTATAATAACAATAAAGTATAACCATATAATAAATAAAAACATTTAATATTCATTAATTTTAATTTACTAAATTATACTGGACAGTGATGTAGTGATAAACCTTGTAATAAAGACAAACAATAAATGAAAATTAAACTCTATTACAACAATATATTAATGATAATTGAAAATGTGGTCCTTCCTTAGTCACTTTCTGGGGAGGGTGGTATCTGCAAATAGAAACAGAAATTATCAACAATAGCAAGAAAAACCTTATAAAAAAAAGAACAATAATAGAAAAAGAAGAAGAAAAAAGTTGTATTAAAGAACCTACATACTTGTCACACATCATATACTATCTTAGTATAGATGATTAGCAATATTTAGAACAATGTTTAATTGCTTTTAAATTTTTTTTCCATTAATTTATTATTATTATTTGATCTACTTACACTTTAATTGCTTTTAAATATATTATTATTATTATATATCTGTGTGCCAGGGAAAAACACAAAAGAGATGATACAGCTTTTATTTCCAATTCTTGGCACTGTCTTTGCCTCGATGATTATCTGGTTCTACTAAGATGCTAAGTGCTATTAATTAATTAATTAACTATTTTAAGATAGTCTAACTTTTTTCACGATCAATGACAAGTTCAGAGATTACACACTGTGATTATCAGTTTGACTCTTATATGTACGGTGCATATTTAATTAATCATGTCTTTACTTTTATTCGTTTTTTTTTTGTAGTCAATGGTTAAAAATGCACATAAAAACCTAAACAAATGGTACTAACAGCAAAAGTTTATGATCCCTCGGACAGTTATATATATATATAATTAATTAAAATATTTATAATTGTCATAAAATATCAATATTTTTAATATAAAATATATTTTATTTTGATATATGATTGTGATTGATTGTCAATATAAATAACAAGAGTGCATTTCTTTTTTTCTCTTTAAATAAAGATGAGAAAAAAAACTTTAAAATATAATTACCATTTCCTTTTTTTTTTTTACAAAAATGTCATATTAAACTAATTTTTTATTTACTTATTTAAAATAATTATAAAAATAATAATTTTTGTTAAAAAAAAAGTAGTTTTGTGATTACTATTATTTTTAGATTACATGATACTTTTATTAAATGATAAAATCTGATTTAAATAATTTAAAACAAAAAACATTATAAAAGAAAAAAGAAAAAAATATTCTATTCACTAAGATATCTAGTACTACTAGTAAATAGCTCATACTGTGTTGTGTTAGTGTACTCGTACTTTTTTGGGAAATGAATGTGAAAGGATTAGAACAAGGTCAATCACTAGTATCGATGCATATGGAGATGTATAAATAAATGAATATGAATTGTCAAAGCTACTAGTGACCAGTGTGGTTTGAGACTATAAGAGAGAGAGATTCATTAACGAAGAACGGTCAATCCTCGAGTCTAGCTACCACATTCTAGGGATGCAAAACCTACCTCTTAAATCACTCTTCAAACTTTTGTTTGGTTAATTCTAATTTTCCAGTAACTATACAGTAGAAATAAAAAAATGAGAGAGTATTATTTTTAGAATTTTTTAGTAAAATAACCATATTTTCCTCGTTTATATATCAAACTAATCATCTTTCCTTTATAAATTTTACTTGTGTTGGATGGGAGGTTGGGTATTTGAGACAAGAAACCAATTGAAATCAATTTATATCAATTTATGTATTTGATAGTTGGTTTAGATTTGATTGATAGTATAGTGTCGGTTAAGACTAAATGACGGTGGCGCTTCTATTCACGACACTTTTCTTTTGCATATAATGTCTAATTGTCGTAATCACATTGGTTTGAGACTTTACTATTGTGGTATTGAGCAAATCACCTTGGAGGACTTGAAATTTCTTGAAGCATGCCGAATTGAAGTTTTACTTGATCATTCTGGTGCATCTCCATAGTAGTGAACATAATAATCGGTATTTTTGCACTCCAAACGACAACATCTTGTTAATTCACTTCATGCATGTCTTCTAAATCCAGATATGGTCTCCAAATAAACGGTTGTAGAAAAAATTAGTTTAGTATGTGTTAATAATAAAAGATAAATTATTTTAAAATAAATAGTTTAGTGATAATACATCTGGTCCCAAGTGATCCAATAGATTTATGTATTGTGTAATGTTGTCTGGTCCTCCTTCTGTGCATGTCTACTGCATAATCTATTGGTCCTCCTTCTGTGCATGTCTACCGCATAAGACACGTTGCTCAAAATTTCACGCGCGAAATCAAAGACAGAAATCTTCGAAAAAAAGTTGTGAACACGGGACAACATATGCTTTAAACCAACCATCATTCATGTACTATCACGAGGAAATGAGATTGTCAAATGCGGAGGCATTAAGGTGGGTGAATAATATTCCAGTGGAGAAGTAGACAAGGGCATTTGATGAAGGATAATGTGGGGCCACATGATAACAAACCTTGTAGAATCCATGAACGACGTCTTTAAGGACACTAGAAACCTACTCATCACTGTGTTAGTAAGAGCAACATGTTATAGGTTAGGATCACTATTCGCTACCAAAGGTTAAAAAAATGGAGCACAATGTTAGAATCAGGACAATTATTCAATAAAAACTGTATGAAATTTATGAAGGAGGAAATTATTAAAGTGGCATCTCATCGCGTCATAAGATTTGACTGTCATGATTAAAACTTCATTGTTGACGAGAGAAAGTATCACAATGAGAGGCGGCCAATGGGATACTATCGGGTGGAAATTCATAAAAATTGACGCGACTGCGGAAAGTTTCAAACCTTCAGTATGTCTTGTTCCTATGTCATTGTAGAATGTTCCAGTGTTCGTCAAGATCCATTCTTGTAACTATCAGACGTTTACAAGGTTGTAAAATTATTTGGTATCTACAATAATAGCTTTCCAGTGGTAGCTAGTGAAGATTATTAGCCTACATATCAAGGGGACATAATTTACCACAGTGAAAATATGAGAATAAACAAAAAAGGTTGCCCCAAAATCACATGAATTGGAACCGAAATGGATACAACTGAGAACATAGAAAGATTGTGTGGAATATGTCGTCTTCCCAATCACTCATGGAAACATTGTCCCAATGTTTGAACTAGTTCTAGATAAGATTTAATGATGTCGTTAAAAATTTTACAACCTTCAAATTTAATATGGATAATAACTTTTTATTACAAGACAATAAACAACAACGCGTAAAAAATAACAACACAAACTATAGATAAAAAAATAATTAACACTGCAAAATAACTAAGAGATAACAACAATTAAAACAATATTATTTGTTGCAGACATCATATCTCTAACGTCGTTGTCATCTTTAATTCGCACCTGCATACGCTGCATATAATTATTGTCATATGCAATTGATATGTACGAAACAAGTCTTTCAATACTTCTAATTCTTTCTCCATCTTGAATCTTTCCGTCTAACCAACAATTCAAATTCCTTTCTAGTTTCTCTAAACTTTGGATGTTCCAAAAAACATCTTTATCATAGACTTGGTTCTCAAAAAAATAACATGCCCATATCTCCTAATATACATGATGGAAAAAATGAAGAAAAAATTATAAGAAGAAAATGAGAAAAGGTGTGAATAAATCTGCAGATGGTCGTCTCTATTTATACAAAAATTCTATCATTAAAAAATAATAAAATTTATAATATAATATAATATAGGCTAAATGCACTTTTGGTCCCCCTAGTTTGGACAAATTAAACAATGGACTCCCCTATTACAAAACTTGCAAATTTGGTCCCTTAAGTTAAGATCCACTTTGGATTTACTTGGTCCCCCATACAATTCTGATAATGTGTCATGTTTTTTAATTAGGTGGCATGTAGCAATTGAATCCATGTCATCAAGTTGTAATATTTTATTTCCAGCTAGATAAATTAATTCAGAAGCATTTAAAATGAATCTACTTTTAATATATAAAAGTTAATTACCACCATAATTACTTAATTACCCTAATT